CATAAAAATTACTTTCGGGTAAACAGTGCAATATTCACTGGAAATATGCGCTCCGTGTAAATACGCTATACATTCCCTTTAGGTCTTGGTGCCTCCCCATGAAAGCCTCCGGTAATTGCTGCTTGTGATTTGCCTCTGAAGATTTGAACCCGTATTTCTCACGCTCTGGAATTCAGTCTTCTGACCTCTCGCGTGCCGATGCTAATTGAATGGAGTCAGTAATGTATTTTGTAGCCTTAGCTACAGTCCCTAGTTTAGGAAACATGTCCCTGGAAATATTTATGTGCTCTTGATAATTAAAGTATGACTATGGGCACCATAAAATATGACATACAGTATATGGAGTACTATTCTGTATTACTATGTGATGTATTGCTGGGATTTGTAGTCCTCTATCACTGATGGTATTATTCTGCATTGCTGTATAATGTATTGCTGGGATTTGTAGTCCTCTATAGCTGATGGTATTATTATAATGCTATCAGCTATAGAGGACTACAAATCTCAGCAATACATTATGCAGCAATGCAGAATAATACCATCAGCTATAGAACACTACAAATCCCAGCAATACATTATGCAGCAATGCAGAATAATACCATCAGCTATAGAACACTACAAATCCCAGTAATACATTATGCAGCAATGCAGAATAATACCATCAGCTATAGAACACTACAAATCTCAGCAATACATTATGCAGCAATGCAGAATAATAAGTTGCTACATACTTTGTACTGCTCCTGATGTCTCCAGCGGAGGGTCTCAGGAGGGGTGCAGAGAGTCTCAGGAGGGGTGTGAATGATCTCAGGAGGGGTCTGTAGGGTTTTAAAAGGGGTCCACAGGGTCTCAAGAGTTGTCCGGAGGGTCTCAGGAAGGGTGCAGAGGGTCTCAGCAGGAGGAGATGTGCGAATGGCAGAACCACTATAAGCAGCACTGTGTGGTTCTCAAAAAGGCTGCTGCAAGGTCCCCAGCAAGTGCAGGACCTCAGGCAGCCACTTCAGTTTAAAAATGTAAAGCGCCAGTATCAGTGTTTAGTATCGGTTGGTCAGGTGGATGAGTCTAGCAGCTGCATCCATGATAGACTGAAGGGGGGATAGCCTGTGTAGTGGAAAGCCAATGAGGAGGGAGTTGCAATAGTCAAGACGAGAGATAACAAGGGAGTGTATGAGTGGTTTCAGTGATGAGGAAGGGCCGTATTTGTAGAGGCCTCTTTAATCACACAATTACATGCAGCATCATTTTAGATACCTGGAAAGTCTTTCACTTTCTCCACCAACCTATGATTCTTCAACGCCAGATTTCAACCAGCAGAGATTTCTCAAGAACCCAAAGCCCTGCCCTTCAGTGAGTCATCCCAGTACGAGACATCCCAGTACGAGACATCCCAGTACGAGACATCCCAGTACGAGACATCCCAGTATGAGACATCAGAGTACGAGAAGCATCTGACACGGGACAGATCTCACCATACTGGTGACCGAGAAATCTCCGGGGGACTGGAAAACAGAGCAAGAGGAATCTTATTATCCTGCTGCCCTCTACTGGTCACTATGATTTATTCTCACTATTGCTCGATAGACATGTAAGCTGCAGAAAAATTTGATTCGGATCCGAAATTCGATTTGGTTCGGGTTTCGTATTCGGGGGAAATCCAAATTTTCTTTATTTTCGGATGGGTTTATGAATATTCATTGCGACTACCACAGAAAGCCATATACAGATATTAATACTAAAGCTGAGGCTCCCAGCAGGGGCGTCCCGAGGCCAGGTGTCACCCGGAGCGGAGAAGGGGGAACACCCCGCCGTGATGTCATCACGGGCGGTCGTCTTATTGACACCTGCTGGAGGCCATCTTGGTGATGGACGCCGGCAGAGAGAGGAAGGAACGTTCACCCAGCGGGTCCCTTCCTCTCTCCTGAAACTGTCGGGCTCTCGGTCCATGACCGAGTGCCCGACTTTTCATAGGGGGTGCACCAAAATGACTGTGAGTCATTTTGGTGTCACCCCTCCAATGGTAGTACTCAGGTGCGGGCCGCACCCCCCTTGTGACGCCACTGACTCCCAGACCCGAATGGCATTCAGGATCCGAATTTCTGAATTGCATTGGGGAGTAGGCATGGGCTCGATGTTCGAGTTGAGCATGAGTTCGACTCGAACATCAGCAGTTCAGGTGTTTGGCGAACACACAAACTGTCAGGGCGTTCAGTGGGCTGTTCGCCTGCGGATCACCCCATAAGGCACTATGCACCGCACAGTGCCTTGTGAGTCCTGATTGGCTAAAGCCTTGCACCTGACCGCAAGTCAGGTGCAAGACTTTGCCCAATCAGGGCACGGTACTCTGTAAAGGTGCCCATACACCTTACGATTATCGTACGATAATCATATGCGATCGACTTTTCGTACGACAATCGTAACGTGTGAATAGAGTGCCCGACCGATAGCACTGTACAATCGTACGACTTTTGACGGTCAAGCATGTTTGAAAACTTTGGTTGATCGTACGATGTTCGCATGGTTGGTGGCGTTTCCGTCCGTCAAAAGTCGTACGATTAACACTGCGCATGCGCAAACGAAAATAATTGCGGTCAATTACCGCAAGTCGTCCAGGTGTTTTTTTCTAACTACCGCTGATTGAACCTTGCGATAATCGGGGCAGGATGGGGCCGTCGTACAAAAATCGTACGACGGTTCAATCATCGGACGAAAAGTTTCGTCCGATAATCGTAAGGTGTATGGGCACCTTAAGAGCCATGATTGAGTAAAGTCATGATGACTTCGACCAATCATGGCTCACCTGTGAGATGCCGTACATCAGTAAACAGTTGTCACCGCTAGCTCCGCCCAGGGCCGGATTTACTCTCCCTGCCGCCCCAGGGCCAGGTTCCGCCGAGATCACATGTAAACGAAAAATCGGCTTCCCTCACTCTAGATTTAGTCCTGCTTGTAGAAATGTAGAGAGGGCAACTTACCGCTCACGCTTTTTTTTTTTACCAGGCCTAAAGGGTCTGGTATTGTTGGGAGGGGGAACAAAACCTGTGGGTTGAGAAGTGGGTCGCAACTCACTGTTGAGTGGGTCGCAGCATCCACTTCTGCTGCGCTAGGTGAGAGGCTCCTCAGCCTCCTCCTAGGCTTTTCTATCCACAGCCGCAGCTGTCCTCCTGCCTCCCATACAATGTGAGCTCTGCAGGAGGTGGGCATCTAAGCAGTGCTGGGGCTGAGAAGGCTGCATGGAGACAGAGCAAGTAGCAGGGGCTGGGGAGGGCTTGTATTCTTGTGAGTGTGCTTCTATTTTTAGTCCCAAGTCCAGCGCTTTACTAATTCTGGAGTCCAGCGCTCCGTTGGAGGTAACCACAACTTGGCAAATGTTACCAAGTGTTTTTTTCATTGATTCCTGTCCCCCAGGGCTGTACCCGGATCCCCATACCCTGTTTATAGCCAATAAAGTGCATATAAGCCTTCAAAATGGGGTCATTTGATTTTCAAAGTTGTAACCCCATAGACTTACATTGAGTTTGTGTTCAAATTCCAACTTTTTCCATGTTCTAAAGTTCGAATTCGAACCGAACTCAGGTGTGTTCGGCCCATCACTATTGGGGAGCTCCTGAATGCCATTCGGGTCTGGGAGCCATATACATATATTACTAAAGCTGAGGCTCCCAGACCCAAATGGCATTCGGGAGCTCCTCAATGCAATTCGGAAATTCGGATCCTGATTCCCATTCGGTTCTGGGAGCCTCAGCTTTAGTATTATATGTATATAGTGTATATGGCTCTCATACTGCCCTAATGAAAATTAGTGTTCAGACCCATTCGGATGCATTAAATCGAAAAACACATCTGATTGCCCAGAAAAGTAACATGCTCGAATCAGTTTAGTTTTTGAACGAAATTGGGGCGGGATCCGAAATTCGGAAACGGAAATTCAGATTGGGACCGATTCGCATGCATTGGGATTCTGAAATACGGATGTGGGTAATCGTCTGAATTTTGATTCGGAATGAAACGAACCGCACATGTCTATTGCTTGATGACACGCCTAGTATGTACAGAGCAGGATTATAATCCGTATGGGTAAGTTCACTTTGCCAAGCAATTTTGGAAAATGGAATTAGCCGCTCATTTGCGAATTTGTGAGCGCAGTTCAAAATCCATATTGCAGGGCTGCGGTAAATGGCAGTATGGGGTAGGGATAGTTCACCTGTAGCGGCGGAGCGTTGGCGGACAAACTACAATCTCATTACAAAAATAGTAAACTAAACATGAGACTGTAGTCCATCCCGGGAGTGAGCCTGGAGCGGTGACTACTTTACAATACACACGGGAACCATGGGGAACAAAAGTAGCCCCCCTCCAGAAGGAAGGACAGTGTCGGCACCAATTCAGAGATGATTTGAGGATCTACAGCCGAGTGATACACAAATAAGATGCATTGTTGTTAATAGTTAAGGTACATGAATGTATTTTTAAGATTTAACTCCTGAGTTTAGTGCCACTATAAGACTTTGTATATCAAGTTGACCCAGTGCCGTCACAAGGGGGGTGCGGCCTGCACCCGGGTGACACCATTGCAGGGTGATAGTCATTTTGGTGTCACCCCCTCTAATCAGTCGGGCAGTCGGTCATGGACCAAGAGCCCCACAGTGTCAGAAGAGAGGAGGGGACCCGGCGGCATACCTCATCTCGCGGGGGAACGTCCCCTTCTTTCTCTGCCGGTGTCCATCACCAAGATGGCAGCTGGCAGGCGTCAATCAGATGGCATCATGTGCGTGATGACGATACGGCGGGGTGTCACCTGGTCTGGAGACTGGGTGACACCAGGCCTAGGGACGCCCCTGAGTTGACCATCACCAGAATATCACATTCCATACTTGTCCTTAGTCTGGGTTACCTACATTTGATCCACCAGGTGGCGCCATAAGACCACACATTGCGAAGATTCCAGGACTGATACAAAGTATCCAGCCAACCAGCTGTATCTTTGCTGTATCTATGGTGACGTCTGGTTGTTGTGGGTGAGAGGACAGAGCTGCATGATTGTGGACAGGTTCTCCTCTGCTGGGTACAGGTTAGTATATAGATGCATGGGAGTATACAGCGCCTACAACAGGGCAGACACATACAAGTTGTACTGAATTTCTAGCAAGTTCTAAGGCACATTGCAAATAAAAAATTATTTATGGAAAGAAAAAATGTTGCAAATGTTGCACAGGGTACTGTGGCACCATATAGACCAGGCTCTTTGCATTGGGACTGCATTAGGCAAAGTTGAGTTTGGGTGGCGTGAGTCTGTAATAAAAATGTGGTGTTGGGGGGGAGGGGTTAGCGCTTTATTATTTCATGTAATCTTAGATTGTATTATCAGAATAACTCTACTATGTATTCCTATTACAGTGCTGGTGATATAATAGGTTTAGTCCCCGTTCACACATTGGCGGGAACGCGTGCACAAAAGTAGCTTTAATGCAAACGTGCAACATGCTTGCGGTGCCATTGCTGGTTAATGCCACCCCAAACATGACCTTGCAAATGCGCTTTTTCCCCTGAGAACAAACATGGAACACATGTTGCAACATTTGCTACATGCGTAACTTTTGATCTGTGTTTGTCACATGTTCAGCATTGATTGAGATAAATGGGGATTGCTAAATGCAGGAAACAAATGCTTGGGAATTCACAGGAACGCATGTCACTGCAGCGTGTGCCCCCACAACGTCAATTTCTGAATGGGACCTTAAAGTGACATTAAAGGCTCCTCCCCCAATGTTAGTGTAAGGACTTGCCTTAAATGATGTCTCCTGATCTGATCATCTTCTTCTTTACTGTAGTTTTTAGCTGTCCCTCCAGCACTGGTGCCGGTCTCCGATCCAGCGCTGACTCCTCTGTCCTCCTCTTCTCTGATGTCCCACGGAGTCTGTGCGGGTGCATGCTGTCCATAGACTTACCTTGTGTCTCTCCTCGTCTCCCGGCCGAACATCTGAATTCCCGCCCCAAGATCCTTTGCTGCCGCCCGACAAATTTTCAGATGTTCGGACTAGAGCGCACTGCGGAGACACAGGTAAGTATTAACCCTTTCAAAAAGTTTTGCATATATCTACAGCTTGCTAGCCATAGATGGATATATGCAAAAACAAATGAGGGTTTAATAACCCTTTAAGTCACCATGACACCTAGGCATACCGGGAATGCGCATCGCATTTGCGTGTGTTTGTGCATGTTTTTAATGGGTTCCTGCATGTGTGACAAACACACGAAAGTTGTGCGTGTAGGAAAATCTACAACATGGGTTCCGGGTTTGTGCACATTTTAAGGCGCACAAACATAGGGGAAAAACACATTATTGCCCAGCCACACTTGGGGGGTGTCATTAACTGGTAAAAGCACAGCAAGTGCGTTTCGTAAGCATGCATCAAAGCACGTAGTTTTGTGTTCACAGAATGCTCGGGTGTGAATGAGGACTTAAAAGGAACTTCACTTTTATCTTAAATTATAACAAAGACACTTTTAGAAATGTTTAGTAATGACAATCTACAATCACATACTTCTAGATAATTGCCGGCTTTGTATTCTTTGCATACCTCGTTTTTCTCTTCCGCCCCATTCTTCTCATGGCGGTCATTTTTACTAAGGGCAGATGAATCCATCTCCCTTTACTTCCTGGAAGTCTGCCTGTTGGACAGTCCATATCATCTCTGCAGAAAAAAATGCCTTTCCCAGAGATCTTGTGAGATTTTGCAGCTTACAGATGAGGTTTCCCAGGAAAGCACTGATGATGTAGTCTTCCCAGGATGCATATGTGGGGCCAGGGCTACATCACCGATGCCTCACTCAACCAGGAAGTGGAAAAACAGCAACAAAAAGCAAAATGTGTTTGTTTAAGTAATGAATGTAAGATGATTTATCAGTTAACACCTAGCGCCAAGAAAAGAATCCCATTGCGAGGGTTAACTGCTTGTTTATGTCTAGGGGTATTGTGTACAGTACTTTTACTTACCTGATCCCCGCTCCTGGTGGCTCCAAGATCGGTGTCCACAGCCTCTTCCCCCCTCTGCTCCAGTCGTCAGAGGCCCGGTGATGTCATCACGTACAATGCTGGGTCTATAGACCTGTATTATACATATGGATGCCAAGGGACAGTCCACAAGCTGGTGTGTAGGGAGGTGAGTGCCAACTGCCGGGGAGTGGGGATCAGGTAAGTAAAAGTCCTTTACATATTACCTCCAGACAAAACCAAGCAGTTAACCCTTTCAATGCATGGGGTAGTGGCCCCACTGCAAGGGTCATATTCTAATTTCCCTGCAGATGCTGTATGTAAACGTATAATAAAGTCCGGTCATATCATTCTGGTGAGCGGACCTGCGATAGGCACAGAGGAGGATCACTGAGGTGGATTGAGAAGGGGATGGGCACGTTTTGGACAAACAATACTTGATCTGGAACACTGAGTGAATAAGGACTGATATGTGAATACACAGGAAGTGGATCATCACTGGGTACTTGGAATACATATGTTTGTGGATATTTTCAGATATCGCAGACTTTATGAGCTTCACGTATAAAAGTTCCACCCAGCTATGCCATTCGCACAGCACCAGTGCCGCTAGATGGCGCTGATTAGTATAAGTAATTCCTATGCTCCTCAGCGCCATCTAGGAGAGCCAGCGCCGTGCAAGCGGCATAGCTGGGTGGAACTTTTATACATGAAGCCCCAAGTGTTCAATATTTTTGTTTGGTTTGTTTGTATTTTTGTATTGTTTGGTATGACACATTATTACATTGTATCATTTTGGACACATTCATTTTTGTCAAACTCAGAGTAGCATCAAGGTCGGGTTAGGGCGGCTCTGGGCATGTTGTCAGACATTATTATATGGTATCTTTTTTAATATGTTTGACGAACTTGGATTAGGCACTGGGCATATTGTGATATTTTATTACATTGTATAATGTTTTATATGTTTGCCATTTTTGGCACGTTTGGAGCAGGATCGAGGTCGGGGGAGGTGCTGGGCATATTGTGACACATTATTACATTGTATAATTTTTATAGGTTTGATTGTTGAAATTTGTGGCACATTTAGGCTAGGTTCAGATATCGGCAATCCTGGGATCCGCCTCCCGGGACCACGTGATCGTGCACAATTGCACACAGTGGTTGCCCCACGGCCCCATTGATTTCAATGCCTTTTTTGACGACACACCTCGCGCTGCTTTTTTATCCGCGATTGTGTTCAATTGCACAGGCGGTATTGTGGTGGGAAAATAATGGCACTGCCAGTGCAATCGGCGGTGGTGGGCAATTCCGTGACCGCGCAGCCATCTGCACGGTTTCGTGCACGATTGCCACGTGGTCACGGATCGCCATAGTGTGAACCTAGCCTTCGACTAGAATCGAGGTTGGGTTAGGCGCTGGACATATTGTGACACATTATTACATAATTTCATTTTTGATACATTTGACATTTTTTGGCACATTCAGAGTCAAATCGAGGATGGGTTGGGATGGGTTGGGCACTGGTCGGGGAAAGCACCGGGCATATTGTGATACATTATGACATCATATCATTTCCTATATTATGTTTGATGTTTGACATTTTTGGCACATTTAGAGTCAGATCGAGGTCAGGGGAAACGCTGGGCATATTTTTGACAGATTATTACATTTTACAATTTTTGAGATATTTGATGTTTGACATTTTTTGCACATTAGGAGTAGGATAGAGGTCGCGTAAGGCACTGAGCATATTGTGGCACAGTGTTACATCCAGGGCTGGATTTCCCACAAGTCCAACCAAGGCCCGGCCTTGGGGCAGCAGGGAGTAGAGGGGCAGCAGGGGTGTGGAATTCCTATCTCCTGATGCCCGGGACATGCAGTCCTGGGCGGGTAGTTGTTTTCTACATTTAGCCCTGCTTAGGGCAAGCAGAGCTTAATGTACAGCAGGGAGGCCGTCACTTATTTTGTACAAGTGATCCCGGCGATGTCGCCGAGATCACTTGTATGCAGCCTGCAGGTATGCCATGCCATTTTCCATGGGGGGGGGTTTGGTGGGGAGGGGGGCGCATTGAGAAACCTGGCCTTGGGGCAGCAGAGAGAGTGAATCCGGCCCTGGTCACATCGTGTTATTTTTTATATGTTTGACATTTTTTTGGCACATTTAGTGTAGGATGAAGGTTGGGTTTGGCATTGTGCATATTGTGATAGATTATTACATTGCATAATTTTTGATATGTTTGACACTTTTGGTAGGACATTTAGAGTAGGGCTGAGGTCAGGAGAAGTGCTGCTCATATTGCGACACATTATTGCATAATATCATTTTTCATATGTTTAATGTTTGACATATTTTGGCACATTGAGAGTAGGATAGAGGTTGGGTTAGGCATTGGGCATATTGTGATACATTATTACATCCTATCATTTTTTATGTTAGATATTTTTGGTACATACAGGCCCGTATTCCCCATACAGGCGTGTATTCCATACAGATTTGAATGGAAACGCGCTGACCAGCGTGTTTTTGAGCATTTTAAATTAATTTTCAGCGCTGAAACGCAAATAAACACGCCCTTTTAAAATTTGCACAGAAACTGCGCTAAAACGCATCCGCCCTGGTGTGAAGGGCCTTAGAGTAGGATTGATGTTGGGTTAGGCACTGGGCATAGTGTGACACATTATTACATCGTATCATTTTTCACATGTTAGATATTTCTGGTACACTAAGAGTAGGATTGAGGTCGGGTTAGGCACTGGGCATAGTGTGACACATTATTACATTGTATCTTTTGCTATATTTTAGATATTTTTGGTACATTTAGAGTAGGATTGAGGTCGGGTTAGGCACTGGGCATAGTGTGACACATTATTACATCGTATCATTTTTGATACGTTTGTCATTTTTGGTACATTTAGAGTAGGATCGAGGGCAGAGGATGCATTGGGCACATTGTTATACATGATTATATCATATCCTTTTTTTATCTATTTGATGTGTGACATTTTTGGCACATTTAGAGTAGGTCGGGGGAAGCACTGAGCATATTGTGACACATTATTTACATCATATGATT